TACCTTTTCTAATTTTCTAAGACTAGTCAATAGGAAAGTCCTATGGCTAGACCTAGGCTACTAAAGAAGTTTTCTAGACCTCAACCAAAAGTGAGGTCAACAAAGACAAACTTACAAGAGAAATAAATCCAATTTCTCTTTTGCCACAAGTCACCAAGAAGAAGCCAAGGAAGAACAATCTTCTTCTTCTTCTTTCTTCTTCCTTCTGTCGCAAGGAACTACTTCTTACACTTCTCTTCCTCTATCCCAAAGAAACTCGAAAGACTTTCTCTATGCCGAGGAAGCCCGAAGAAGAACTTAAAACGTGACTTTTCAACTTTCTTCTCTTATGTTCGCAACTTAAAGGAGACGGGAGGCAGGAACAGTTCGCGACAACAGGGAGACGCGACTCCTCGCGAATCGGGACCAGGGAGCGGCGGGAACAACGATTATCCCGAAATCGCAGGTCGCGGTCACGACCTTTCGCGATCGGGAGAGCGGGAGCGGGAGTTGGCGCCGTTTCACGAAAATGGGAGCGGGAAGCGGGAGCGACCGAGCGGGAGCGGTCCTATCGGGCTCCAGCGCTAACATTTTTAATATCATATAAAAAAATATCACAATTTTAACTTATAAGAATTGAAATACAAATTTTCATTCATGGATAATGGTGCAGGAACCTAAAAAATAGAAGAGGAAGCGGAGAAAAACAAGAAAAGATAACTCTCTTTCTATAGAAAAGTAAAAGCTGTCACATAGGGAGAACCTACCTCACTCTTCCACTACCACCGGGTAGAAAAGTCATTAAACAATCATTCAATAATACTAAAAGCAGAATTAACTAATATAACAGTAGTAACAAAGATGGTATGTGTGTAAAAAATTAGATACATGTAAATACATAAAAATCGAATAATCTGCATTCAACAAACCTTTATTTTTCTTCTCCTTCCAAAAATTGGTGCTTTTTTCACTCTTGGATTTGTTTAATAATATTTTGATTTACCCACATAAATAATTTCGAATTTTGCTCATTCTGGAATTGCCGTCATCCACATTGGAATCTATGGGGTTTATGCGGTGCGAAATTGGCCGATGGCTATTTCCATTTACGCGTGCATGTGAGCTTCTGCCAGATAAAGAAGATATCTTTATAGTTTTGGAGGGAGATTCCTATGCTATTTTGCCCTTATCATGTGAATTTCAATTTCTGCTTCTGTCCGTTACCTGTTCACTCTCCCTTTCTGCCTCTCTCGCTCTCCTTCTCTTTCTGCTTCATTTCACCCCTGGCTGTTATTATTTGATCCGGTTATATCTATCTGATAGAGAAACAAGCACCTGTTTTTCTGCTTTCATGCCGTTCTCCTTCTTCTATTTTGGTTTCCTTCTTCGTCTTTCTAACATTCCTTGAAGTTATATTAGTTCTTTGGGTCTATTAGTGCAGCAATTGGGAAGTTGGGATATCCTGTCGAAGATGGGCGAAGGTCGGCTGCTTTCTTGGATTGTTTACGAAATCTGTTCGGTTCTGGAACGAAGTTTGGCTCTTTAAAGTACAAAGTGTGAATTTTTCTTGGTTGGTTGGGTATTAAGTTTTGAAGAAGCTCTGCTTCTTGGTTTTTACTTGTTTGATTCCACTGTTTGATGCAGGTGTGGAGAAGAGTGGGCGGAGCAAGTTAATTAGGGTTTCTGATTCCCGATCCCCAGTTTATGGGTTCTTACGTTTCATTTGTTGGGTTGGAGTGCTCGTCTTCTTCATTGCAACAAACCTATAATTAAGCCTTGCCACATTTTAATCCCAAGACCATTTTTGGTTCTCTCTGATCTAGCCCTAACTTCAAGGGTTTTGCTCAATATCATCAGAATGAGGGATTTCCCCTCCTGTTTTGGCGAAAACGGAGTTCAAGTGGCTGATGCCTCGTCTAATTCAAGCAAAACTTCTCAGAATCTGGTTACATGTCTCTATAGCACGCAGCTCTGTGGCCGCTCCTATGTGATAACCATCACATGGAGCAAGAACATGATGGGTCAAGGCTTGAGTATCGGAATAGATGATTCCAGCAACCATCCCCTGTGCAAGGTGGATATAAAGCCATGGTTATTTTCGAAACGAAGAGGTTCCAAGAGCACGGAGGCAGAAAACAGCAGGGTGGACGTCTTCTGGGATCTCTCTAATGCAAAGTTTGGTTCGGGTCCCGAGCCACTGGAAGCTTTCTACGTCACAGTGCTCATTGATTTCCAACTAGTCCTCCTTCTTGGCGATCTGGTCAAAGAGGCTTACCGGAAAGCCAATGCAGGTCCTCTTCCTTCTAACGCCACCATGTTCATCGCCAAGAGAGAACACATCTTTGGCAAGAAAATGTACTCCACAAAAGCTCAATTCTGCGACAATGGCCAAATTCATGATGTAGTGATAGAGTGTGAGACCATTGGGTTGAAGGATCCTTGCCTTGAGATCCGCATCGATAAGAAGAGGGTGATGCAGGTGAAGCGGTTGCTATGGAAATTTAGAGGAAATCAGACAATTCTTGTGGATGGATTGCCTGTGGAGGTATTCTGGGATGTGCACAACTGGCTTTTTGATTCTTCTATGGGGAGCGCAGTTTTCATGTTCCAGACCTGTGTTTCTACTGAGAAGCCATTGATGTGGAGTTCTTCTCAAAGGTTTAGAGAACCACAGTTAAGGGGTACCAGTTTCTCATTGATTTTGTATGCCTGGAAGAATGAATAGGTGTGAGGGTGGGATGAAGAGGAGAGTGCTCACTCTGCATCATCTCTTTTAAGTGCTAACATAATACAATAGTGCGTGATTTGTGTTTGATATTGTGAGCAGGTCTTTCTTATGTTTTGGCTTTTTTTTAATTCCTTCTTGATAAAATTTGATATATTTGGACATATTGAACAATATCAAGTGCCAAAAAATGTTATTTTTGGATGCAATTTGTGAATTTTAAATTTCTAATTATGTTGTTTTGCTTGCAATTTTTATCATTATTTTTCATTGGAAAGCATGTTTAGATAGTTCTTGGTTGGGCTTGAGCTTGGAGTGGATCTGATCTTGAAATTCAAACCTTTCAGGACTGTTGAGGGAAGAAGATAATGTTTAGAAAGGCTGTTAATGGGACTGTTTTAAAAATCATTTTTCAGGGCTTTTAGATTCCCCTCACTTTTACTTTATTTGGTCTTTCCCATCAATAAAATCGTTATATCCTAAGAGGAAGCTCATAATCTGCTACGAAAGCCAAATCACCGCATAATGATATAATGTTTTTTATTTTTTATTTTCTCTCTTTATAAATTTAAACAAAACAAGACTACAATAATTTTGGCATTTTATAATGGCGTTTTTCCAGAAGGAATGAATTGGCGTGAACTTGCCACGCAGAACAGTTACTCATCATCATCATAAATTTTGTGGGTCTACAATAGTTCTGGTTTCTTATTTTTTCTTCTTTCTAAAATTTTTTATTTGGACTTTATTAAACATTATCAAGTAAGGAATGAATTGGCGTGAACTTGCCACGCAGAACATTTACTCAGCATCATCGTAAATTTTGTGGGTCTACAATAGTTCTGGCTTCTTATTTTTTCTTCTTTCTAAAATTTTTTTATTTGGACTTTATTAAACATTATCAAGCTCTTGGAAAATGTTATCCTTGATGCACTTTATAATCTTTCAATTTTAAATTCTGTTGTTTTTCTTGTGCTTGTTATTTTTTATTTGAAAACAATGGACTCTAGAGTGGATTAGATCAAATATTGAAATTTAGACCTTTGAAGTGGGCGGGAGATGATTTTAAAAAAGACTATCAAGCGAACTGTTTCAAAGAACATTTGATTATTGGGGTTTTCATTCTTCTCAAAGTTTTGCTTTGTGGATCTTCCCCATCTAAAAAATATTTATTTGAATTTATTTTTTCTTGATTTTGCTTCAAGTCGATTCTCCTAATAGATATAGGAAGAATTTCCCAGTAAGGACTCTTATTTTTCTTTCTTACGGATAAGAATATTAAGAGAATCAGCTCAATTTGCAATTTTTCAATCAGTATAAAGTAGGTCAAAGCTGTTTTTTAGGTAGCTCAAAATGACATCTTTTGCTTGTAGAGATTTGATGGTGGCCCAACATATTTTATAATATTATTTCATTGTCATGATTTCCAGCATTAATTTGCTTATTCTATTCATTTATTAGTTCTCAAATACTAATTGCCTTTGTGTGCTTGATAAGGAATGTGTTGACAATTCATCTGGACTTTATCACTACTATGATTCATGGGTTCAAGCATTTGCTTGTACATTTTCTTTTGCTTTCTTGATGCATTTCCAGGTACAGATTATTCTTCGTAGTATAAAGGAAGAAATTGCAATATGTGACAATTTAATCTTCAGGGTTATTCTTCAAGAAGGTATGCGTTTTGAACTTTGTCATCCTTTTTTTTTT